TTGGAATATGGACCAGTTCACCTCATCAGATCGCGAAGTCCCTGAAAAGCCGCTGCCGGAGGAAAGCACTTCATCCCTTGTATCCTCTCTCATGCGGGGATCTGCTTTTTTGGGTTGCTGGAGCATTTGAGTGAGAAGGCGAACTTCCTCGCGGGCTCCCCGAAGGTTCCGGTCTATGGCGGTTTTGAGATCTGGGGAAATCTGAGACTGGCGCTGTCCCAGTGAGAAGGGCTGGTTGACCATCAATCCCCCGCGAGAACCAGATATGGAACCCGGGCCAAGACGGGCTGCTCCCAGCTCCATTCGAGGCTGTGACCCAAGACCATACTGGCCAGGCACGATGGGTCTCTGACCACTGGGGAACGGCCCTCCACGGGGATTATATAAAGGATGCGACATGGTGACCTTGAGCAAGTTGAGCAAGGTCAAAGCAGGGGAAGCAATTGCAGGCGGAGTGACGCTTGTGCCAGCAATTGCATTCAGCTGGTGCAGTGCCAACTGAGTCTTTATCTGTGCCAGCTGGAGGGAGACGGGGCATAAAAGCGGCAGACTCCCAAAATGCCTCAATGCAACAGGGGGCACACAACTTTCCAAGAACAATGAAAAGCTGGAAAAATTAGGGGGGGAAAAAACACACAGATAGGGTTATTGGCTTGTTGTCTTCATGTCCTCACACAGAAATGGCAAAACGGATGCGACCATTTTCCCCTTCTGTCACACAATCTCAAATCCCCAGCTTCAAGGGATTTAAACAGGTTTCCATGTCTTCACTGAAGAAGAAAAACAGCAAGCAAAAAGGACAAGACAGACAAAGCAAAATAACATTACAGTTTAGGAGTATCTTCACACAACTTTCATGCACGAGTTTTAGTAGGGTTCTTTTTTTTCGCCTGAATGTGAACAGGGAGGGACGAACATGCCTCAAAACAGGACAACATGATAGGCCAGACTGATAATTTATAGATACTAGGCAACTGTACTTTATTAATAACCTGTCAGCAGTACTTTGACCTTTTACATTAATGTTGGTGTGATGTAATTAGAGTCTGGACTGACAATATTGTCCATCGCTTTCAACAAAGATCACTAAGGTGACTCCTCTTCGTGAACAGCTCAATGAAAAAATAAAGGGAAGAATCTACTTCTGTTTAAAAAAAAAACAAAAAACTACAGAGCCTTTGCACTGAACATTTCTGAAATATATCAATTTCTAACTATGCAAACAGGCAGTGTTGCCAAGTCTGTGGTTTTCCTGCAGAATTGGGCTACTTTTATATTCTTGAAATGGGTTGTTGTCTGCTCCGCTCTTCTTTTCTATCAAGGTGGAACCCCTGGAAGTAGTGATGGCCGCTTTCGAAGCACTGCTTTGTGAAGCTTCGAAACTTTTGCGAATCATTTGTTTCAAAACAGTGGTTCAGAGCGCGTATTAAACCGCCAAAGTCACGTGATTTCAGTAAACGAGGCTTCATTATGCCATAACTGTTTCGAAATTTCAATGGCTTTCCATTGGGGGGGGGGGGGGGGGGGCGATCTCTGTGAACAAGTGAATCATGAGAGTTCACCGAGATCGCCTCCCAGCGGCGAAACATTGAACCAGCATCTATGGTTTTTACCTGGTCAGTTTCATCTACTTGTAGACATTTTTAACAAGACATTTGTGTAAATAAAAGGATGAGAAGTAGTTAATATATCTTTCTGGCCTATATATACACAAGCTCTCCATAAAACAAAACAAGCCCTGCAAATTAATATAAGATATTTTAAAAGCCACATATTATACAGACACTTCATATTTAATGGTATTTTATCAGTTTTATGGCAACTAATGTATTATACTTTTAATAAAACATTTGCAATGGGGTTTTAAAATATTTTTATGCATGTTTTAGCCTGCGTTTTTGTTGCCTTTACATACTTCACCAGTGTGTGGTGTTTTCGAGTGCTTCGAAACACGATTGGGCTAGTTTTGAGTACCAATTGGGCTCAGGTTGTTACACAGACTTAGCAAACCTGCAACCAGGGCTGTTTTTTTCAATTGTCTCTACAATCTATTTGTGGTTCAAAATGCTTTTGGGACATGCAGTCCAGATCAAACAAATCAAAGATGTGAGTGGCGAAGCCCTACAATTCATCTCTCCTTATATCAAGTTTTCCTAACAGTAAAAGTGCAGAAAAATCAAAAGGAAACAGCAATAACCACCAATTCTACTTCTATAATGTTACATATTTCCAAGTTAAAAATACATAAAAACTGTAGGGCAGGACATAATTTTATCCAATTTGGGAATAGGCCTGTCACGATAACAACTTTTTGTTGTGCGATATATTGCCCCAGAAATAATTGCGATAAGATTGTCATTTTAAAGACCATTTTATGCCCCTGAATATATAATCATAATGTAACAGCATAATAATGCAAGAAGGCCACACACTTCCAAATAACAATGAACTTTTAATTTTTAAGAATATATAGATCATGGAAATTAAGTATCAAAATATTAGATACCTTAAAAAATGTGAATAAATAGTAAATAAACATTTAACAAAAAGTGCAAAGTAGCAAGTAGAAATAAAGAAAAATGCACAAAGATTTTTCCATCTACAGATATTTCCATGACCGTTTCTCTGTAAATGAAGGGTGCACACTATTGCTGAAAAACACGATCACTACTTAGCAGTCAGATGTCTGTATGCACAAAGGCACAGATGCCTAAACAAGACCATATCTGCAGATGAAACTCTTTTTGTAGAAGCATTTTTTAAATTTGAACTAGCACCGCCTACACCACGTTATGTACAAGAAGCTGCAAAAGACACAGACGCAAGTGGAATGTACTAAACATTCTGACATTAATTGTTAAGTAAATATAATGGGCGATATATTGAGTCACCAAAAATGATTGCGGTCATATACATATATTGTGTGATATATTGATTATTTCGACAGGCCTACCTGGGAACAATTCCTTTTCAGATAAGTCTTTATTTGCCTTCACTGTCATAACCTTAGTTAATTGGCATTGTAATCTGCAATAAAATGAAATTTCAGATTTTTTTTCCCTAAATGCAAGTTATTGATCCTATTGCGAATGATTGCATTTGAGAATAACCTACTACATTTAGTTGAAATATTATAAAACCATTTTTGCTCATGAAACATCAAAACCAATATTGTGCATTAAAGGTGCAATAGGTGATTGTCTTGAGAAAATGTTTTTGCTATGCTGGTTGATAGTCTCTTCACATCCCGATAGCAATCGTTAAGTTAAGTGCGTGGTCTAAACGTATTCGTCTGTATTTATATATTCTGTGGAAGGCGTAGGATCAAGAAATGTTCGTCCAATCAAAACGCTCGGTCCGAGCGTTTTAATATGCTTTCCTATCTGCCCGTCAACGTATGTATTAGCATACCTCTGCGCACCCTATTCGCGCGGACAGTATACGTCATCAGCGCATTCACGCACGCTGTGCAGACAGAGCGAGGATGGCAGGCAAACATCTTCCTTCCTGGTATTGTAGTACTTTTAAAGATTTCTCACCGGTGAATGGCACATGATGTAGCCCAGCGGTTAATCCAGTCCTCGCGCCAGCTCGTTAGACGTGAGCTACGTGCATGAACTGTGTTTCGATCGATATGATCCCTACACAATGTTCATTGCTCCCTCCTCACTGAGCAGGGGAAATCCGTTGAAGTTTACTTCACTTCGGAACATGGGCTGGAATTGGGAACCGCTGATGTAGCCTATTGCAGTAATGTTGTCTCTGGTCTGTGAGTGTATGTGTGTTCAGGGGGCGTGGCTTTGGACGGCGATTGCAAGGAGGGTGGGACTTAGCTTTCAGTGCTATCAGGCTAAAGTTAGCATTTTCCAAGATCTCCTACTGCACCTTTAAGAAAATGAGTTCAGTTTGGATTCCTTTGATATAACCGATTAATTCAAAACATGCATGTACAAGATTAAAACCGCAGCAGTCTACATATCAGAAATTAATAGAACGTATGCAAAATTGCATCATTAACCATCTATCTGAAACCCTCAACCACTGGGTTTTAGATTGCACTTTCTGTCTGTCTTTCTTTCTGCAAAACGAAACCGTCTCAGACAGACCGCCATCCAGCGACTGAACACAAAATGTCCACTGAACAATAACAGACCGCCTCACTCGGCAGCCATTTCTGACAACAGGCCTAAACCTGCATTAAATGTCAACCACTGGACATTAAACGGAGATACTCTTCCGGTCATTATGAAGAACGATACAGAAACACAAGATGATATTATAACCCAAACATCTGCTTCAATTAGAACACATGTAACGTTACTGCAAATGGAGGGCATATAACATGCAATTTGCAACTACTAAAACAGATATTTATCATGAGACTGCACAGCTGACCAATCGACGGTGAGGCTTTACACCCGAACAATTATCTATAACGCTTCCATCGCTATTTCGAGGGTCTATCGGTTTAATGGAAGCGCTGCAGTCTGGACGGGGAGATGTTTTTGTGGCCAGTGTGCCGCATACACAGTAAAAAGCAATGTTTAATTGCATGAAACACGCAGTGAGAAATCAACCCGATTCATGCAGGCCTCTGGCCCTCAGTGTATCCTTTACCCCGATCAGTCCACGTCGCCATTTTATAGAGGAAAAATCATTTTATTCCACGAATAAATCACCACGCGTACACTAGAAGGGTTCCCAACACAGGTGAAATGCACTACAATAACATACCTCGTACTTTAATATGCAAAAGCTTACTGTGGAAATCCGACGAGGACAACGCTCCGCTTTCTGGGGACGTTCGGCTTGCGTCTCAGACGCGATCAAATGATCGAAGAGTGGAGCTACGAGTCAGGAAAACCAATCAAACCCGACCTCTTGCGACACGGAACCATAGACTGAGGGGGTCGTTTTCCTTTAAGGATATCCAGGAGATGGCAGTGTTGTCATTTTTTTTAGACTAGTCTGACTCTCTTTCAGCCAGGCGCAGACTAGTGGTTTAAACAGCACGACTAAATGTGGGCCTACAAACATTTAACTTCCCACATACTTCAGTGAAGGTATATATCTATGCATTTGAGCGCATTTTAAATGTTGTTGAGTGCACTTTAATAACTGTACTTTTTTTAAATTTAATTGTAGTTGTTTTTTCTATTGCAGTAAACAACAAGGATTACAGTACGTACAAAACAAACAGTAAAAAACAGCACGTGCAAAACATACAAAATACCAATCAATAATAAACTACTCGAGGATTAATAGATAAAACATCACAGAAAAAAACAATATAATATAAAAATTCTTAAGAAAAGGACAGAAGAATAAAAGGCACACAAATAGAAATACAAGTATATTAGGGAAAAATCTTAAACATTGCACAAATTCTAGATGTTTTATAGCTTTCTTGTTAACAGACGTTGAAATTGTATTTTTAATAATTGTACTTGATTGCTATATTTAGGCTTAGTTTTGAGGAATTTGTACTTTGCTAGAGAACTATTTCATTTCCACTGTAAAATCATACTTCTGGCTCCTTATAAACACTTTTGTGAAAAGCTTAGGCTCTCTTAATTCCAAAAATCTGTTTGTTTCAAAAATGCTTTACTTTTAAATACTAAATACGTTGACTAATGTCTGAGTCATATTTTTACATGCACACATTATTTAAATACAACAATGCAGAAGTTCAGAATTGCTGTATGTTGATGTTCTTGACATCTAATCCTCCGCACAAGGGCAGAGATGCTGGCAAACTAATGTCTCTCTCAAATTTCTGCAGCTAAACCTCCTTCTTTTACACATCGGCTGTCTCATCGCAGTTTTTAAAAGAAAAAGTAATTAGATTTCTATTCTTATTCTTAAGTGTATTTTTTTATTATTGTTAATTAGACTATTTGAGGACATTTATGATATCACTGATGCATTACCATAATCATTTGCTAGAAACATTGCATTGACTACATTGTTGATTTTCAGCTTTAACAAACTCATCTAGCTCTTACCTTTAGAAAGAGTATGGTTTGGGAAGCTGGTGATTTCATGACCGAAAGAGTAATGAGAAAGCGGTTATTCTGCTTAGGTGAAGTTTATACCAAGTGTTCTGGCTTAGTATCAAGACTGGCAAGCAACTTTATTTAACCGGTAACACTTTACAATAAGGTTCATTAGTTAACTACATTAGTTAACATGAACTAATAATGAACTGCACTTATACAGCGTTTATTAATCTTTGTTAATGTTAATTTCAACATTTATTAATACATTATTAAAATCTGACCACATGCTAATCTACTGGGCAGAACTTGAGATCAGTTAACTAGGAGAACGAGTCTGTGTTCTGCTTCCCAGAAACATAATGAGTGGATTGTAGAAGTGATTGACACCAATGTTTTCTACGATCTATTTGGGCTTCTAATGTTTTTGGGAGACTCAGCACTAAACAGTTAATTGCAGTGAAAGACAGAAGATAATATGACTTTGCTTCTAATCTTAACACTCATCTAAGTTTTCCTTTCTCCCTCTTTTCTCTTCCGTATCTTTCTCACTGGCCCTGGCTTATGTCCAGGTCCAGCATAGTGACAGACTAAAATCATTTAAGCACCAGGGGCCAATTTCAATCAATAACAGTTTGGGCACAAAGAGAAAGAGAGCTGGCCACATTGCAAACACTCAGACATGAGCGACAGAAAGAAAAATGAGACATGATGAAAGGTGCCATTTGCACTTCAAGCAAGCGCATGAGAGTTAGATAAACTGTTCGCCCTTTTCATCCCGTCCCCTTCAAGCATTATTGTGGCACACATCTTTGCACGTACTGTAGCTATGTTATGGGCAGCTGGCATGACACCATTTGTACTTGTCTGGCAGGACTGTGAGGGGTTCTGTTAACAGATAACTAATTAAATATAAGAAGAATAAATGCCCTCCAGGGGTTGGGGGAATACCTACCACTCAGCACTACAGGACAGACTCTCCCAGGAGCCCTTCAGTTCTTAAAAGGTCACAATAACATGATGTCCTCATGGCAGATGGAGCTCAGGCTACAAGTATTTTCAGTTTGCATGTAACTCGCTGGGTCTTATTTTAGACGTCTAGGTTTACTGTGTCAGATCAAAGAATAATTTACATCATGTATTGTGCATTCTGTTGTTTATTATATTAAAAATAGATTAGTTTATTATTTAAATAAAACAATTAGCTGCATGGCTGTATGTCTAAGAATATTTATGTTCATCATTTCATTTTGTTTGTCTTTGTGTGTGTGACACTGTGCACCATCTATATGTGACTATTGGCCATGTTTTATGGACAGGCCACTTGCATGAACTGATTGATCAAGTGGCTTTCTATTGTACCACCTGTATTATTATGATGGTTATCATTATACATTTTAATTTGAAAAGCAGATTTTGGTAGCACATTAATGTTATATTACATAAAGGAATAGTTTCCCCAAAGATTTGCAAAAAGATCTTGAAACATGGATTTTTGAATCATGAATCATTTGCTTCAGTCAAGAAAATTCACCCTGACGCCATCCAAGATGTAGTTCATTTCTTCATTGGACCAGATTTGGAGAAATTTAGCATCGCATCACTTGATCGTCAGCAGTGAATGAATGGGTGCCGTCAGAATGAGAGTCCAAACAGCTGATAAAAACACCACAGTAATCCACAAGTAATCCACATGACTCCAATCCATCAATTAACGTCTTGTGAAGTGAAAAGCTGCATGTCTGTAAGAAACAAATCCATCACAAGGCGCTTTAACTTTAAACCGTCATGTATGGCCAAAATACAAGTCCATATTAACACTTCTTCCAGTGAAAACGTCCATCCCCTGTTTTCTTTCACCAACATATTTGTTTAGAACTGTTTTCACTTGTAAACTGTGCTTGATCTGTGCATATTTCTCTCCTGGTTCAGACTTTTTCACTGGAGATAGCAGTATTGAATAGAGAGTACTCGTATTGGATTACTTGTGGATTGTTGTGATGTTTTATCAGCTGTTTGGACTCTCATTCTCACGGCACCCATTCACTGCAGAGGATTCATTGGTGAGCAAAAAAATCTGTTCAGATGAAGAAACAAACTAATCTACATCTTGAATGAACTGAGGATGAGTAAATTGTAAGCTAATTTTCATTTTTGGGTGAACTATTCCTTAAAAGAAATATATGGTTATATAAATGTAAAATGAATGTTAATGTTTGGTTTGGTTGTTAGTATGAAAGAACATCTTCTCACGGCATGATTTCTTATGGATATCTGCTGGTTAGCTCAAATGTGCTGGTTAATGTTTCCGTATTCAGTTCAAGTGGGCTTTGGTCTCGTCACCCCATCCGAAATGAGTTCTTTCAGCACCTCGACACCTTCTATTTCAGAGTACAGACACACACGGATAAACACTTACACACCCTCATGCAACCACAAGCCCTTTAACCTTCTCCCACACCAGAATTGTGCTGGTGAGGCGTTTTGTGGTAACAGTGTCCCCAGATATGTTCACCATCTTTTCCGCTGTAACTGAAAACAGCTTGCTCCTCATTTCGGCTGTCCTCATCTAACTCTCTTTCTTCCGAAACTTGTTCCAGGTTCATGTGTTTGGTAAAACTACAGTTTTTTTTAGCTATGGTGGTTTGTATAAAATCTCTCAAGAAAAAAGACCTGTTTTTGATTTGAATATAATATATTTAATATTTTAACTGTAGCGTGATTTCAGAATTGTGCTGGTGAGGCGTTTTGTGGTAACAGTGTCCCCAGATATGTTCACCATCTTTTCCGCTGTAACTGAAAACAGCTTGCTCCTCATTTCGGCTGTCCTCATCTAACTCTCTTTCTTCCGAAACTTGTTCCAGGTTCATGTGTTTGGTAAAACTACAGTTTTTTTGAGCTATGGTGGTTTGTATAAAATCTCTCAAGAAAAAAGACCTGTTTTTGATTTGAATATAATATATTTAATATTTTAACTGTAGTCAAAGTAATATAAAGTTGGTGTAAGTAGTAAGCAAGGCATAGTCCAATAGGTGTGAACACCCTGTATTTGCACTTGAGGTTTGGGACTGGCTGTGTTGACATGACACCCTTTAAATCAGCAAAGCTTCTCTGATTTACCTTACACAGTGTTCAAGAAGTAGTTAATGGAACTATCACTAGCCCTTTACTACTAAAAATGTGACATTCATTAATCATCTTGTATAACCATTTTTAAGCTTTGCAAACATTTTTTATGCCTGTACTATAAGACGACATGTGTAATTCTAGTTGTGGTACTGTTAGGACCACAAGCTCTTGACATGCACACACACAATCTCTATAAATTATGCATGAACATAAAACATCCAAAAACATATGCAACCTTTCTGAAGGAGGAACCCATAAATCTTGTTAATGGGCCCAGATATAAATATACACTACTGCCCATCTGCGGTCTTATGACATTAAAAGGTTAAAAGCCAAGGTCATATGCCAGCATGTGGACATATTGTGGATCCTACAGAATATAGCATATAGGTGTATATACTGTATTTAAAAATCATCTGATAAGATGTTACTTTTTTCCATGTTGGTGGTTGTTACAAGGTAATGTCACTCCACTGTGAAAGGTGAAAAGGAACCACATGAAACTTTCTAGTATTCAGTTTCTGATAACAACTAGTGCCGTGAGACTACGATTAGCACATCTAATTCTGCCAATGAATCTTGCCAAGGTGTTCACAGTAGTCTGGTCAGACTTTCCTTCCCATATTTATCTTCAGTTTGACTTCATGTCAGCTGATTTTTCTTTCCGTATGTTGATAAATTGAATAATTTGTATCCAGAATTCTAAGCCAATAGTTACCACACACACAGCCGGTCAAATATTTGGAATAATTAAGAATTTTTGAAGGATATTGTGACACTGAAGACTGGAGTAATGGCTGCTGAAAACTGTTTTGCCATCACAAGGAAATAAACTTTTTTATTAGAAAACAGTTCTTTTAAATGGTAAAATATTTCACAAAATTAATTTAACTTTATTTGCGATCAAATAAATGCAGGCTAACCATTAAAGACTTTTTCCAACAACATTAAATATCTTAATTGTTCCAAACTTTTGACTAGTAGTGTACAATTGTTTTTTATTTTCAATTGCTATTTTATTGGTTTTAAAATAGGTATTAATATTCATCACGCTTGTAAATGGCAATCACTTTAAATTTAAAATACCTAATTTGGATGACATAATGATAAATTAGTTGGCTTTTCTGCCTCATAAATCTCCAGTTTCAAAGGCTTGCATTATTTTTGAACACCACAGAGGTGTTCAAAAAGTTTACTGTATGTGTGAGGTCCACAGATTTGGCCATTTAGTTCACAGTATGATTGTTTGGGCATTTATATGCCGTTTCGAAATATATACAGAGGAAAGCAATTGTAAGAGGGAGAGGAGAGAGGAGAAACCATAATCTCCTGGTACAGTATTTATTTTGTCAACTTTCAATCAATGGCATGAGCCTGTGGCTGTGACTACTTCCAGAACAAACAGACCAGGGTCAAAAATCAGTTTCAGACTGTGTTCAGACTTTCGTCAAGCCATGGGATCATCACCATAGCTTTGTGTTCCAGGCCAAATCACTGGACTCAATCAGATGACAGGGAAGCACAGCAGATTGTCACCTTCTATAATACAACAGTCCATGTAATTGTTTTTGGAAGATTCCTTCGCTTGCATTTCATCAGAACTAAACTGATAGTCAGCTAGCAGGTGACTGATGAAGGTCATCATTCAGCATGGTTTAGCTCACCATCTTTTAAGTCATGACCCTTTGCTGTGTGCTGAATTTCCGAGTGCAATCATGCGTTGTGTGTAGCTGCTTTATTGAGTTTGCATTCAGCTGCTTGACATGACTGGCCCTTCAGCTCAAGGGTCTATTTGGAGCGAGCAGCCCGTTGTGGTAGTGTAATCCAGACAGACAGCAGGAAGACATTGTCTTTGCCTCATGTGCTTTGTGAATGTGTCATGATTATCTTTAAATTCAGAATTAGTTTGCTATCAAGATGAGTATAATGAAAATGATTTTGATGATCACATGACACTGAGAATGATATGATCAATTAACAATGTTGAGGTTCATAATGATATTTCTGCAATGATGATGAGGACAGTGACAAGAAAACAAATGATTTACAAATGAAAGATGAGCTGTCATAGTGTGTTGGAATGCAAATGGAATATCAGTCTGAGCATAATGGAATTTACAAGAATACCACAGCGGACACATTGTGGGCTTCTCCAGACAGTCTCGCCACAGTCCCTCACAACCATTATGTGCAAATGTCAACGTCAAACACACTAGTCACAGATTAGCAACAAGCTTTCCCACTGTGCTGTTTTCTCTAATTGTAAGTTGCATTTACATGCTACAGTAATGCAGTTACAATGAAAGTAAACAGGGCAAGGCCCCTAAAAATATGAAGCTTGTACGTTTAAGCACATGACTTAATAAGTAAAAATCATTATTTTTTATGTTGTAATGTAGGCTACAGGCCCTCCCCATGGCCCTAAAGCAAGTAGAAGATGGATGGATGAAAGGAAGGAAGTTGTCCAAGTCATCATTTTTGAGGTAAGACAACTTTTGTAGGCAGTGAACATCTGATTATGCGTTAATGATATGATTGTGGATGGAGTCATGCTCATTTAAACAGTCCTTTTCATATAGTTCATGCAGTTATATCATTTATTTTTACTATAATGTCTCGTGGTCAAAAACAAGACAATGCTTGTCTTGTGGATGTCTGTTTATTATATTACCTTGTCCCTTCATTATATGTGTAATAGCTATTTCTATAGTTAGTTATGTAATAATTTTCTATATATTTATATGATATGTTTATACATTTAATATTTTAGTATTAATTATTTTTGTGGTAATCAACTTTTCAACACAAATGCTGTCAACAGAGTGAAGTTGTATTGAATCCTGAATATTCTTTTGACAGATAATGACAAAAACACAATGAAGTCAAAACTGAAAATAATTTTTTGGTCATTTAATGTTAGCCTTATTTGTTCATCTTTTAAAACATGTTGGTTTGTTAAACTACAGAGTATCAGAGTTCGTTTGTGTTCGAGCAATGCACTTATGGTCACTGCTCCAGACAGCAGAGGAAGATCCATTGTTAGCGTAAAGTATAATGGAGGAGAAAAGGATGTGAATTGGAGAGAGAACAACAAAATCCTTTCATCCACAGAGTTAGTGGGTTACATCAACCAGTTCAGCTGGGGATGGAGGGGAACATACCAACGCAACAATCAGTCCATAATCATGGTACTTTTAAGTAGTCCTAATAGCAAATACTGCTTTGAATTAAATGTACAGTACCTAGATTTATTTGAAGATTAATGTTGGTCCTTGTTTTGTTTTTCTTTCATTCAGTTTAATGTGGGAGATCCTGTAGGTGTAATGTTATCTGAACCAGTTTAATCTGGGCTGAGTGACGAGAGGAATGCGACATGAAGTAAGCAACAGTATCCTCTAGTCATGTGATCAAGAGAATAAATCTAGTCCCCAAATGTAAAGCTATGAAGCTCGCAAGAACAAAGAGAGGGTTTCTTAAATATGTCACCACATTCATGGCAAAAAAAACAAACAAAAAGGTAACAGTTTCTACAGTGTACTTCAGATATCTTAAAACAATTACTATGTTGACTTTGGCATTATATTAGTAATATGAGTTAAAAGGTTCAAGGGGAAGTCATGGCCTAATGGTTAGAGAGTCGGACTCATAACCCAAAGGTTGTGGGTTCAAGTCTTGTACTGGCAGGGATTGTTGGTGGAGGGAGTGAATGTACAGCGCTCTCTCCCACCTTCAATACCACGACTGAGGTGCCCTTGAGCAAGGCACCGAACCCCCAACTGCTCCCCGGGCGCCGCAGCATAAATGGCTGCCCACTGCTCCGGGTGTGTGTTCACGGTGTGTGTGTTCACTGCTGTGTGTGTGCACTTTGGATGGGTAAATGCAGAGCACTAATTCCGAGTATGGGTTACCATACTTAGCCACATGTCACGTCACAAATAACATTTAGAAAAAAGACTGCATTTTATACATGATTATGACAATCCTTTGCATAGTAAACTGCAGACACAACAGGTGCTGGTCCCTAGTTGGTCTAAGGGCTATTATAAATGAATACAACATGGATTATATAATTAGACTATTGCTATCAGGGGATACTGACTCACACGAAAGAAATTAAACCAGACATGACTAGACTATGATAATAGATGCCTTCACCAGCAAATTTGATTTGATGTGACATTGCCAAAAATCTTTTCAAAGACTTTGCATATCATATTCAAATGAATGCTTATTCATTTGATAGAACTACACAGCAGAAAATCCTATTCTTTAATGAGTATTTTTGCCTTGTTTATCGGTTAAAATATGTAATAATCATTAAAACAAAATACACGTAACTGAGCAACATGGTAAAACATTAAGACTTGCTCTCATAGACTGCATCTTGAACGTTAGTAAATTGTGTCCCATTGCACTGGGAAAAAAATTGAACTTTTTATACTTACAAAAGCAAGTGAAAATGAAGACAAAATACACTCGAGATACATCAAGAAAACAAGCCTCAATAAAAATGTTAATACATTTATCTTGTTTTAAGGATTTTTAGAAGCTATGCTTTTTGCAGTGTAGGTAAATAATCACTGATATCCATTTGAAAAGTTGTTCTTCTGGAAAGTCAATTGATTCAACATAAAACGGGCGCATGAGCAGGACACAAAACGCAACAGATCTCACATCCAGACAGGTTAGTGAATTAAACAGCTTAAGAGGGGAGACAAACACAAATTAAATTTCTTAATTGTCTTTGTTTCAGAGCCAACGTTTCAAGCCACACATTTTCAGACACAAGTAACACTTAAGTGCTGAATCTGGATCAGCTCCTATACCCAGGAAGAAATCACAACTGATTTAAAATCAGTTTAATAGGTTGGTTTTAAAACACATCTCCACTTACCTATTTGGGGTATTCGGTTGAGAGAAGAGAGCCAGGCTATTGGCCTGTTTGTTGACATTGTTACTTGGGATAGCATTTGTTGAGCCATCTTGGGAATTTAGTTTCTTATTGCTCTTTATCATGCTTCCGCCCCTAAAAAGCTGAATGGAGGGCAAATGTGCTCCTGTAGCACAGACACCTGCTCTGGGCCCCAAAGAGACCTTAAAATCCACAAATAAACCGACGCACAGGAATACAGAGTCTCAGATTCACAAAAAACTTTTAGAAGGATGAAAAATGTCTAGAAATCAACACATGATGGGATGCTGGTTGTTGTGTTACGATAATTGTTTGGTTGCTGATCCGTACCTGGAGGTTCAAACAGGGTATTGTTTATGGGTTGCTACATAAAATAATTTGGTGAAGGGGCAATAAATAAGTGCTGAGAGTTACGAGTCACAAAAAGGCAAAAAAAAAAACAAGTCCCAAAATAATGACAATATCCAGTGCTATATAGGTAGAGAATCTTCATTTGGCATCCATTGTAGAAAATGTTCTTTCTTCAGCAAATTATTTGATAAATTCAAGCTGGCTCTGCCTTGTTGACAAATGACACAGCTTCATATGTTGCAAATACTCCTGTATAAAAAAGCAAAATATCAAAACAAAGAACATCTCCAACCTAGATGTCTTCGCTGACAGCTATTAAAGATCAGGCTGGGATTGCAAAGGGTGTCCTGGGATTTCAAGTCACACGGCTTCTGCCACCCAGATCGGTCAGCTGGTGTAGCTGGGCCAAAGTGTCACATGCCGGATGTCTGTAGTGAGGGGAGAGAGAGAGAGAGAGAGAGAGAGAGAGAGAGAGAGAGAGAGAGAGAGAGAGGGAGGGGGTTGGTTTCTCTCTCT